TGTTACTGTCCATTGTTTGAAATCCACTGACTGTTTATTTTCGTCACTGTCATATTGCTATTTTGAATCATCATTTGGTGTGAGATACTGCTGGAAATAACTTTGGGCAGTTTGTATGCCAGGACAACTATTGCATCTATGAATCATGCATGGTTTGGATTTTCTGCTGCAGACAATCTTTTCAATGATTTCATAGTAAGATGTTTCAAAGCCTACAGTACTCAACATTAATTTAACATTTTGGTGTATTGTACACACACAAACAGAATGTGTACCATTTGGACCAGCAAGGATGTACCAATTAGGCTAAAGACTGCAAAATTTAGAAAATCCAATTTTATGGTCTGGGTATTTAATCCAATATGCATAGAACTCCTTTAAGTTACACAAAATTAATTTTTTTGACATGTGATATTTTTCCAACACTTGGACAGTCTTTTTTACCTGGCATTTGCTTTGAATACTCATTGTAACAGTAAAAAAGCTTTACAAGTTCCATAACATCTTTACTGATTTGCTTTTGTTCAACCACATTAGGGTATGTTATAATGCCTTTTTGGTCACGTAAAAACTTTGAATTTTGTGTTTGGATTATGAAAACTCTTTTGCTGCTTTTCTGATAAACCAAGATTTTGGGGTCAATATCAAAATTTAAAGTTACTGCCTTCTGTTAAAGGCTTTCTTTCATGCATTCAATAAGAAAGTCTAAATCGCCAGTATTGGTTTTCCTTTAGAACTTTATTGTTGTTTGGTGCAACATGATCGGATTCGGTGACATCTAGAGCAGTTGCATGTTTCTTAATAACTGCTTTTTCAAGTTGCTTTATCATTCTCTCTCCAAGTAAAGACTTGTTGGAGGTTTTTGGTAAATGAACTTTTAGCGGAGACACTTCAAGTTCACACTAAGTACTGTTGAGCAATAATTTTGTTGATTCCAGTGTAATTTCTTTTTCCGTATTATCTTCAGTTAATTTTATCTCCAACTCATTTTCTTTTGATTCTTTATTGATGCTAATTTGCGTTCTCTTCTGACTCTTCAATTAATGCTAATTTTTGTCTATATTGTTGAAAATTTTTTTTGCCTGGCACTACAAATTTGCCTTTACTGCATAAATATTTTGCTGTATCCAAGTTGATTTCCCAAAGACTGCCTAAAAAAAGGGATAAACTCTTTTATTATGTATAAAAATTTGAATAAAACCATTTAAAGTTAAAAGTACGCTTTCAAGAGTCACCTAAATGTTAGGTTAAATATAGCTAAAATAGAATTGATTGCAAAGAATTACATTATTGTATCTCACAACATTTTCACAAAACTAAAAGTTATGATTACTATAAATACCTTTTATAACTTTGTTATGACTATTGCATGAAGTTATGTACCTAAAGTAACAGCATCGTGTTACTTTAGGTACATAACTTCAAATAAACATGTTTATGATGGAGACAAGTTGTTGGTTTGACATTGATTTTATATAGCCCAGTCTTCCACATTAATATTTCTCTTTGATATTCAGGAATATCTTCAAAAGATTCGATTCCAAGCAACAATGTGTATGTTGAAAGATGACATTCACTTTCTAGCTTGATTCCAATGGAGCATTGTTGGTTGCCATGGCTAAGAAACTGAATTACCAAACAAGACTCAATAATTATTTAATCTAAAATTAAAATAATTTTAAGCTTAAACAACTGGTGTTTTAGCGATATAGCTGATGTCACAAATCTATATTAAATATAGATTTGTGACATCAGCTATATCGCTAAAACACCAGTTGTTTAAGCTTAAAATTATTTTAATTTTAGATTAAATAATTATTGAGTCTTGTTTGGTAAAATAATTTATACGTCATAGTAGGCATTGCGAAACAATATTTTTACATAATAATTCTCTTCACAAAACTTCATTTATATATAAAAACCAACCTCAATAAACTGCTTTTACACAACACAACTGAAACCATGAGAGTGAGACAACACGTAAAAACATTACTGTTTTAGTGTTAAGTGAATTTTTACCATTACAAAAAAAACAAAAAACAGTTATCAAACATTTTGAATTAGGTTATTTTCTTTTCTCCTTTGGATTCAGTGTCTTCGAAAATGATTAGGTACCAATTTTCAGTCATTTTCTTCCACTAAAACTTAAATTATGTTCACATATACAATTGCTAAAAAAATCTATGAATTTGGGTTTAAAAAAATTTATGTAGTTGAATTTGAGTCCAAATAAGGATTTTTTTATCTAAATTTCAAAATGACATATCTTTATAATACTCTAAGAAACCAAAACCATCTTTTTTATAAAGATAGCCTAGGATCACCTACTTCATTTGAAAAAAAAATCTATGAAACTTGGACAACTCCAGAAGTTAATGAAAGCACAACCTATGGTAACAGAACAAAAATTTTGACTGACCATTTTAAAATCGATTAATGACCATCAAACAATTTAAATTTTATTATTTTCTCTGCATTTTTTAATCAGCACCCTCAAAAATGGTCAGGTACCCATTTTTAGCCACATAGATCCACTAGATCTTAAATTATTTAGTAAATAGTACAAAACTGCAAAATCCATAATTGCGGACTTGACAAAAAATGGAATGTTTTAGGCTGAATTTCAAAGCGCCATAACTTTTGAACGTCATAACGTTTGGATTTAGGAGCTATAACTTTACATTTTTTCATGTTTCATTGTTATGTACCACTGGGTAAAATTTGAAAGAAATCTAAGAGGGTGACTGAAAAATTTCAATTTTTTGTCTTAGTTTTACATGTAATTACCCCTTAACATTACTTACTTTAGTCTCCCCTTCTTATGAAAGTGATAATTTTAGTTTTGTAATAGTAATATATACTCTATATTTAGTATATGCATAAGTATGAGATTCAAACTTCTTATGAAGGTGAAGTATTTTACATTTGGCTGCTATGAATACCTAATTTTGCATAGTATCAACCTGTTTTTGGTAGTTGCACACCTTTTATGTGTGTAATACACATTTTAATAAGTTTGTGCATTAATATGAGGTTTGCGCTTTTTATAAGGGAAAATTTTTATTGGTTGCTATGAATACCTAATTTTGCATAGCAACAACCTATTTTAATAGTTGCAGATTTTTTACGAGTTCTATATTCACTAAACTTTGTAAGGAGTACCAATATGAAACTGCAAAATTGATAATTTTATTGAAAACATATATTGCTTAACAACCAGATACTTTCCTTAGTTACACAGAGGTACATAGATTTTAAAATATATTTTTATCAAATTTTCAACCGTCTTTTTTTGTTAATTAATTAAGTATTAACTAATTAATTTTAGGATTTAGGTAATTAATAATAAAAACAAAAAATAGTGCAAGAAAACATTGGCGATTCAAAGTACATCTACAGTTTATAAAACATACATACATGCATAAAATAAGAAATTATTTTTTGGGTCAACACATATTTAAATAATAAAATTAAATTTTTATCCTATGCCCTATTCTAATATTAATTTATTACAGCTTATAATCTTATTAATATCCATAACTGTGGCTAAGTATTACCTTTTAAATGTTAAATTGTAATATAATCAGTACTGTTGCTACGCTAAAATAACTATATTAAGGTATCCATAGCAACAAAATAAAAATATGACTTTCATAAGAAGTTTGAGTTTCATTTTAATACACACAGTTATTATTAAGACAATCCTAATCACTTTCACTTCTTGTTTACTATATCTTGAACACTACTATATTTTGTATTTTACCTTAGAAGTTAGATTTTAGAGGCTTTTCAAAAATCTAACATTTAATTTTAAAAGGCTAGCATTCTGCATCTCATGTATGGGTCTGATCTTATTAACTCTTCTAAGGTAGAACTATTTGTAAATAATTTTTCATCAAACCTATCTATTGAATCTAATTTAAGTACTCTTCCATGTCATCTTAAAAAACTGGTTGATCCACTTTAAAAAAAAAGTTTAAAATTACTTTAAAATTACTTTAGCCTCTGCTAAAATTATTTTTTACTAGAAGTTTTTTACAACTTGTTCATTTATAGTGATTGAGTTGAAAGGTTGTAGTGATTTAAAAGTAATACGTAATTGTAAAACAATAGAAAGTTATACTAAGGCAATTGCTAGCTGCTATATTTTAGTAATCTGTAAATCAAAATAAGTTTATAACAAGTATTTTGGTGATAGAGATGCATCTTCCGACAAAGTTATACAAACTCCAAACACTATGAGATGTAGTTTAGTATTACACCTGAAATTTATTAAACTTGAATTATTTATAATTATCATTTTATCAAAGGTTCTTAATTTTTATTAGCTTTGCTTTACTAAACTTTAAGTTGGAATCAAGTGTTATCATGTTATCATGTTATAAATTTAAATATTTTTCAAATTGAGAACTAATCAATTTTAGATTTCTGTTACTAGCTTTGCTCATTTATTTTAAGTGGTCTTTTAAAATTGACATTTTATTTACCAATAATGGTCAATAATATGTGAATTTTTCAACATAAATACTAACAGTTCAGTTCAGTTTAATCAAAATTTTTAGTTATTATTAGCAATTCTATGTAAAATATTTTAAGAAAAAAAATTAAAAAATGCAACTCATTCAGAAGGTAAGAAGGAGGAGTAGGAATTAAAAAGTGAAAAAAAAAATGAAGTTTGATACCTCTATAGAATAAGCCAGTAAATATGAAAAGTGTTTCAAAACACTGCAAAATGCGTGCTGCTAAACAAATGTTTGGCAACACTATAAACAGAGGTGCGAAAAATTATATGCATAGTTTCTATATCCACAACAATATCAGGTAACATATCTGATTTAGATTTAGATTTAAATAATATAAACAAAAAACTTGTTGTGTAATGCGGTTACAAAAAATAAAATAAAAAAAATAATGCCAAAAGTATTCCTTTTATAATTTAATTTATATATTATTTGTAATTTAGTATTTATTTTTTTCTTTTTTCTTTTCAAATCTGGTAGAAGTTGGGGTAAGTTGCATCACGTTGTATGCCCATGGCTAAATAAGTTGCATCACGTTGTATGCCCATGGCTAAATAAGTTGCATCACGTTGTATGCCCCCATGGCTAAATAAGTTGCATCACGTTGTATGCCCATGGCTAAATAAGTTGCATCACGTTGTATGCCCATGGCTAAATAAGTTGCATCACGTTGTATGCCCATCGTTAAATATGTCATAAACTAGTTATTATGTAACATTTAAAGTTTTAATTTAAAATTTTTTTTTATTTTTGCTGCAAAGTTTAAGTTTTTCAAAAATCTGAAAAGATTTTATCTTTGGTTATTTTGAAAAGATGTTATTATGAATGTATTGTGTTAATACAAAGTATTTGCAATGTGTTTGAATCTTTATTAATTAAATTATTAGAGATGTTAAACTTTTAATATTTCATCATTAGCAATGTGATCCATTAGCAATGTGTTAGTATGAGGTATTTGCAATGTGTTTGTATAAAGTATTTGTAATGTGTTAGTATGAAGTATTTGCAATGTGTTTGAAATTTTAATAATTAAACTTTTATTATCTCATCAACAATGCACTGAAAATTAACTAGATAATGTGCACTAGGTGAAAGCTTTTATTGTGTACTTGATGAAAGCAATTAGACAAGAGCTATCACTCTTTATATTTCAAAGGCTTTTGATAAAGTCTGGAATGATTGTATAACAGAGCCTTGTTTCATATGTTGCATCTGGGAAAGTTTTTAAAAGAATGGGCAGCAGTTCTTGAGTCTAGTCTTTCATCTATGGCATTTTGGTGCTTGCAGAGGCTGGCAAGTTTTAACTCCATTAGCTGCATTAACTCAGTATTTAGCTGCTGGTAATGTTACCTCTTTTAAACATGCTTATGATATACTCGTGATTACTCCTGATATATAATGATACAGGCAATGGTAAAGATATCAAGAATGAATCCCTGAAGAGCAATGCTAGTCATTTTTTATCAGGCTCTCCAAAATATCGTTGGTGAATATATTGTGGCCTCGTGGATGGAGTTTCACCTACATTAGTCCATTACAATTTTATTGGATCTTACTAGACTCTGGTTTTTATCATCTTTCTGACGGCCAAAATATATTAATTAATAAGTTAATTCAGTTTCTAAATATTAAAGCGTTAATAATAAGCTTTCTTGGTTTTTTTTTCCAAATTTTCCAAATTTTCTTCTCTCACACTTTTATGTTTTTCTGACACTTTTTTAAAAAATTTTTGTTTTTATTTTATTCTCTATTTTTGTTTACTGTGAGGGTGAATTCGTTTACTGTAAAAGCCTTTTTTTTTTAACTTTTCAACATCTTTACTTCCAACAAGGCTGCAAAAAACCACTTTAGAGTTGGAAGTTACTGGAAGATAAAAGATAAAGTTTATAGAGCAAGATAATGTTTAATAGACGACTTAAAAGATTGCAAAGTATATGAATCAGGAAAGCAAGAAGAAGGAAGCCAAAGAACTGATGTTCGAGAAAAAAAACTAGACAAATAAGAGTTTTTGGAGCACTTAGAAACAGTTACTGTAAAAAGATAGTTATTTAATCTTAATGATGAGTAACACAAACGATGAGTAGCACGAGAATGAATTTTAGTAGATAGCACTTAAGACGCTAACTCTTCAAGCTGTGTCTATTATAGTAATTGTAGAAAAAGATGTGATAATAGTTGGAGGTTGGCTGCAAGAGCAGGTCCAACTATGTTTACGATAGCTTTTTGCACCTTGTCTAAAAGAGAAAGGGCATAATTCAAAGATCCACCCAGACATAGCAACAGTATTCCATACAAGGATGGATTTGAGATTTATTGAGATAAAGAATAGATTCCGGAGTAAGAAAGTGGCACGCATGATAAAGAGATGTAACCTTAGCAGAAGCTAATTTTGCAATGGATTTGATATATGGTTTTTAAGAAAGATCGGAAGTAAGATTTAATCCTAAAAGATGAAAGGTAGATGACTTATCAAGACATTACTGTACATAAATATAGGAAAATCTAAACTGTGGCGATAACGATTATCTAAAAAAAATTAAGTTTTATCTGAGTTAAAGTTCACCAGCCACTGTGTGCCCCATGCTGTAGCAGGCGTAAGATCCTTTTCAAGCTCAAATGCTCTAAGCATTAAAAGAGTGTTAGCTTCTTATAAAGAATAAATGGAAAAACATCATCAGCAAACAATGCCACCTTAGATGTGAGAATATCTGGAAGGTCGTTAATGTAAATTAAAAAGAGTATATGGCCAAGGATAGAACCTTGAGGAACCCCTGAAGGTACATCGTATGAAGAAGATTGATGTCCATCAAGGACAAGCTGGAAAACAAGACTCTGATAAGCACTTGTTAAATAGTTTAGAAAGTATAGGCGACAACACTCCGGACAACACTGCAAACTATAACAGGTATATTGTTCGGACTGCCTCATATAAATATATATATATAGGAGTCTGGAATGATACAAATGTCAAGCAATGGATCAACTTGAGAGTGAATTCTTTAACTATTAACATCTAACTTGAGTGAATTTGTTTACTTCAATTTATACCAAAAAAATTAATTACAGGAAGTCACAAATGTTTTAACTACTGTAAATTTTCACACATTTGTGGAATTTGACACTATTATAAAAAGAATTTTTTAGACATGATTACTAATGCTTTTTTATAAAAATATTTTTAAAAAGGGGGGATTTAATGTAACTATTATTTGGGTTCACTTTTTTTTATAGTTTTTTAGGAAAAACTTTTTTTTGTGCCTTCATTTAGAAATCAGTTCCAATTTTTTGTTTAACAACATTCTTGGTTTGCATGTGTAATTATTTCAAATTTTTCTTGTAGACATAGCATGCATTTTTTTTGAATCTTGTTGTATGCAGGTGCTGTTTTAAGGATGGACCAATTTGGTATAAAATCATCAATATTATTATACTTTAGTTATCATATATATTTTGGCAGCATGGTGACTCTTGAATACTTTTTATTTTTAAAAGATTGCTCATGATTGGCAAAACGTTTTTTCCATTCACCCTCTGTTATGCCAATATATTGTTTAATGGGTACATTCTTAGAGGAAACAAAACATTTATATACCACCATTTTTGATAAAAAACTTCCGATCATTGGACAATTGTTTTTTTATTTACAATTACAGTTTTTAATTGTAATTGTAAGCAAAAAAAAAATTGTCACTCTATTTGACCAAAAAAACAATTTAATTTTTTTGGTATAAATTGAATTTGATCATTCATTTCTGATGATTTTTTATGCCAAAATTTTTGGTAGGCTGCTTTATCTGAAGGTCGACTGTGGTTGTTGAAGCAGTATGAATTTGATGACACTATTCAACTTTTATGTGATATGCTTCAGTCATCAAGTATGTCTTTGACACATAATGCATCTCTTGTCATAGCAAGGTAATTTTTAAAATCTTTTTTTGTTATAAGAAAAGTAGTGTGAAATTGAGTTAATAAAGTTTTCAGAAAAAAGCAATAGTTAAACAATAGTGCCCTTTTCTATTGGTAAAAATAAAAGTTAAAGAAAGCAACCCTGAGTGGTTTGGTTTGTGGTAGATTATTTTTTAAGTTGTACAATATTTATCAGATTTCATTGTATGTTAACTTGATACAAGGTGGTTAAATTTCTTTTTGCATGTTTAACTTGATACATGGTGGTTAAATTTTTATATATATAAAAAATGTATATATATATATATATATATATATATATATATATATATATATATATATATATATATATATATATATATATATATATATATATATATATATATATATATATATATATATATATATATATATATATATAAATATATATATATATAAATATATATATATATATATATATATATATATATATATATATATATATATATATATATATATATATATTTATGTATATATATATATGTATATATATATATATATATATATATATATATATATATATATATATATATATATATATATATATATATATATGTATATATATATATATATATATATATATATATATATATATATATATATATATATATATATATATATGTATATATATATATGTATATATATATATATATATATATTATATATATTATATAGTATTATATA